TCAGCCGCTGCTGAAACTGACCGCCAGTTCTGACTTACATACAGATTCAACTTAAGAACCCCAAGCGCCCCCAGGTCAGCTGCTGCTGAAACTGATCAGCGGCTGATTCCAGGAAGCCCGGGGCAGAGCAACTCTGGTGCCAGTGCAAAGCCTCAGAAGCGCGGGAACCCGCCGCGGCTGCGGCTTTGCTCCTGGTGTCCCTGGTCTGCTGGGGACCGCTGCGCTCTGGGCGGTCCCGCTGCCTGCGAGCTCCGGGGCGAGAAAACCCCGTTCGTAAGTGCGGATCTAACATAAGTCGGATCCGCGTAACTCGGGGACTGCCTGTATACTAAAAAAACAAATGAATTGATTCCAGTCTGTATATGTTGTGATTAAAAATTTTGCTTTAAATTTGCTATGAAATATATAAGGAAATCAAAAAGAGACATGAAAAATGATTAGGGTTACCAGATGATTTCAAAAAAATACTGGACACATTTGATCTCAGATGGGGAGGAGGGGTGGCTGGGAGGGGAGCGGGGCTGGCCAGGAGGAGGCTGGGGGAAGCAAGTCTGGCCAGGGGAGATGGGGGAGAATGGCTGGCAGGAAGCAGGGCTGGCCAGGAGGGTATTGGGGGGGAGCGGGGCTGGCCGGGAGGAGGCTGGGGGAAGCAAGTCTGGCCAGGGGAGATGGGGGAGAATGGCTGGCAGGAAGCAGGGCTGGCCAGGAGGGTATTGGGGGGGAGCGGGGCTGGCCGGGAGGAGGCTGGGGGAAGCAAGTCTGGCCAGGGGAGATGGGGGAGAATGGCTGGCAGGAAGCAGGGCTGGCCAGGAGGGTATTGGGGGGGAGCGGGGCTGGCCGGGGGGGAACCGGCTGGTAGGGTGGCAGGGCTGTCCGGGAGGGGGTCGAGGGGAGCGGGGCTGGCTGGGAGATACTGGGGGAAGGAACCAGCCAGCAGGGAGCAGGGCTGGCTGGGAGGGGATTGGGGGGAGCAGGGCTGGCCGGTGGAGATTGAGGGGGGGAACCGGCCGATGAGAAGCAGGGCTAACTGGGAGAGCGTCCAGGGGAGTGGAACTGGCTGGGGGGGAAGAGTGAGGGGGAACCGGCCGGTGGGGAGTGCTGCCCGTCCTGCGCACGGTCCCGGCGGGGCACACGGGCGAGTCTGGCCCCAGGGATTCCATCCCACCCCGCCCCCGCCTTGCGTACTGCCTGGCTAGTAGACATGCTCATGCAGTGTGAGCGTATCTAGCAGCCAGGCAGTACGCAACTACGTGCTGATACTCATGATAATAATTAAACTTACTTAATTAGAAAATACCGGACATTTATATGTTCGGTATTTTCTCAATTTATTTCCCAGACAGAAAGCTCAAATACCACTGTCTGGTTCAAAACCGGACACCCGGCAACCCTAAAAATAATGGCAAAAATGTGAAACAAAACCAAGAGGCTGATAGAATTGCCAGGCCACAAAGCAAGGTGGAGGAAGAGCCTGCTCCCGAAAGGAGTGGGGCTTTGGGCAGAAGGGTGGGGCTGGGGAAACCGGGGTGCTCAGAGCATGGCATGTGGCACCTCCCTGCCCTCCCCCTGGATCCTGACAGCCCTCAAACCACCCAGAGCATGCTGCACAGTGCTCCAGTGGTGATTTAAAGGCCCCTGGCTTTGGCCACCACTGCGTCAGTAGCAGTGGTGGCAGCCAGGAGCTCCAGGCCCTTTTGAATTGCTGGGCCTTGCGGCAACTGCTCTCTTTGCCCCCCTTCCTCTGTCAGCAGTCCTGAACAAATCAAAATACCTACCCTAATTTAAATTAATTTGAAGTAAACTTGTTACTTTCACACATTTTTTTTCTCAACTAAGGCTTCATGGTACACCTTAAACTCAATAAAATTGATCATTAATTAGAAGTTCCCTAAGAGAAATAAAGGTTGATTCTTATAGATGAGTAGGCATAGGGTACTCCAAAACAATTGTTATACCACAGGGTATGTCTAGACTACATGCCTCTGCCAACAGAGGCATGTAGATTAGGCTCCCCGACATAGTCAATGAAGCGGTTATTTAAATAATCCCTGCTTCATTAAAATAAAAATGGCCATTGCTCTGTGCCGGATCAGCTCATTGTCACACAGCGCGCAAGTCAAGACGTGGATCTGTCGGCAGGGGAAGCCTTTGCCGCCCGATCCTGTAAACCTCGTTTATTTAAACGATTATTTAAATCCCCGCTTCATTGACTATGTCGGGTAGCCTAATCTACATGCCTCTGTTGGCAGAGGCATGTAGTCTAGACGTACCCACAGTGTTACACAGAGGGCTTGTCTACATAGGAATGTCCAGAAAAAGTAATCTGAATAAATCCCTCTGCAAAAGCTGATATTCAGTATTAAAGTGGTCTTAATTCAATTTAACTTAATTCATTGTGCAAATTAATTAAACTACACCAAGTTAGGACTCTTTAATTCTGAATGAGGGTTTTACTGTGGTTTAAATCACCCACTTCAAATTCAGACTTTTATTCATTTAGATTCACTTTCCTGGATTTTCCTGCTTAGGCAAGGTATAAGACCTTAATGATTATTTTTAAATTCTTCTTTAGCTCCAACCTTTGTTTCTGTGATGATGTGTTGGGGAGAGGGGTTCTCTCTTCTTCTTCCCTATGACGTTGTTTTAATCATCTCCTTTTACAAATTATTTTTAGACTCTTACCCATAAGAGTTTTTCCAATTTACCTTCTCTTTCTCTTTCATTTGGTTACTTTTTCTTTGTGTGCATTTTTAAACATTCAGCTTGGTTTCATTTAAACCTTTGGCCCTTCTTCAATCTTCTCTTTCACCTATTCCTTCCTTCATCAAACCACTAGTGAAGTGATTAATACCCATACCATAAGGGCTCTCCAGTTGAGTTTCTGCTTCACATTCCAGTCTATATTTAGCAAATATCACTTTGCAAGAGCACAGACAAGTGCTTATATCAGAGACAGTGCAGTAAAGGGACTACAGTGCTTCTATCAAATGCAGAATCAAAGAACTTTTGCAAGTTGCATCAATAGGTGAGAGGGAGCAAGGGGAAATTTCACCAAACTTAAGGAAGTCCTAGTATGTCTAGACCTAATTTGATTAAACTTCTTTACAGTGGGGAAACATGCATACTGGAGTCAAAGAAATTATACTTGGTTTTTTCCTGACAACTTTTCACCCTGACGTTTATATCATCATCTTTATTGACCTGAACCTACAGCCTTGAAAAGTCTTTACAAATCTAGGTCTTCTGCTTGGCAGCAAACACAGCTATCTTTATGAACTCAGGCCTGTATTTATCATTTTGTTAAATAGACAGTACTCAGGCTGTCTGAAATAACACTGAAAATAAGTAATGCTGCAATTTTACATCTGTTCTGCTATGTCATTAATTTTCTTAAGTGGAGCTGAAAAAACAAACAGGTAATTGACTGTCCATTCTTGTCATCCCCTAATAGTTGTAAACATTCTGTAGGAATGCAGGACTCTGCTTATCATATGATTAATGCCTGCTTATTCTTACACCACACTTCACTATTGATAACTAGACACGACTGTATTTTGTGAACGCACTGATATACTGCTGCACTCAGTTTCACCCATCATTTGCTAGTTATTTTTTTTAACAGGACAGTTCTTTCTTGAAGGACTGCCCCATTTATGTAGCTCTTTTAAGGCTTGGATTTAAGCATCTCACCAACATTCTGCAAATGTGCAAACAATGAACCAGTGGATTCTGCAGTTATTTTTGTTGTTAAACTGCCAACAATTTTGTGCAAATTCATCACATGACCATTCATTACTTCCAGCTGGATTTTGAGTGTTGGGTTTTTTTTCCTGTGATTGAGACTTTTCCAAAATCAGGTGGCAGAAAAAGCATATCTAATAGGAGATATGAGAGGGCCAGAAGCTATTTAACAGGTCTCACAGCTAGGAATCAAATGTACATGCTAGAACTGAAAGGCATATAGACCAGCAGTGATTCTTTCCTGAGTACCTTACTAATTCATCTCTCAACACAAGCTTTTACTTTTCTTTCGTGATACAATGCCTATTGTTTGTTTAAACCTATAGTAGGAAGCTAGATAACAGGGAATTAGATGGAGATTCAAGACAGTAAGTTTCTAGCAAAGCAGAGATACACAAAATAGCTTGAAAGGTAATATCATTTCACTTAATATAATAGAGTGCATTGTTCAGTGTTAGAAGAAAGCTACTCGCTCCATGGACCTTTGCCATTGACACACATTTCCTTTTCATTTTAAAACTGTATGACCTAAATGAGCAGAACATTTAAAAATTCTGGCCTGTCACCATTTAGTTCTGGTCATGTTTGCTGAATATGCGCCACAAGGGTTATCAGTGCCTACTGAGCCATTTCAAAATGTCATTACCCACAGATCTGAGAATGTGTGCTTGACAGGCCAAACATACTTGGTGAACACCAATATCTTTAAAAGGGCAAATGACCATTTGTTATTTTGGTTTTCAGATAATCTGAGGTTTTAAGATTTAATCATTCCTCTGACAAATTGTAAGCATTACAGTTGATTGCTCTCTTGTTGCGACACCTTTGGGTAAATTGTAGAGAACTACATTTTTGGTCACCCACTAAAATTTTCCTCTTCATTCCCTGATGACTCTGTGCTAAGACAAAAAAATGCAATACAAAAGATTTCATGAAAATGACCATAGTCCATTTATTGCTTAGCTTGATGTTTGTTGATACAAAGAAGCCAGGAATTATTTTTAATTATGTCAATATTTGAGGCTCAAAACATGCACTTAGAAAACACTGAGCTGATATTAGATTTTTCTTTAAATAAAATAAATAAGTGTTGCTCAGCTCAAAGAAACATTTTGTCAGTTAAGACTGTGATGACCTCAAACTCCTCCCTGTTTTAACCCTTCCACTGTCTACTCCAATTAACAGAAAAATTATTGTGGTCCTCCCCCCAGCAAAGTGTCTCCTCCCTACTAATTAACCTTGATATTATATTTTTATAGAATAAATACACATCAAGAATTTAAAACTTAAGGATCAAACGCCGGTTCCACTGACATAAATGGGAGATCTGCCATTGTCTACAGTGGGACTGGTTTTTGGTCATACAAGGAAAATGAATGAGAGGTTCTCTTATTTTTGTTTCATGAAATAAACTAGTGGAAAAGTGAATAAAAACTGTAATCCTTTGAGGATGCTGTGTCTGATTTCCAGTCACTTGTCTGAATGTGTTATTCTTTTCATTCCTTCTTTCATAAGAAACCAATTGCGTCCTCTTGGCATTTATTGCAGATGAACAGGAGAGTTCTGGAGCAATTATTTACACGGTAGAGCTCAAGCGTTATGGTGGTCCACTTGGGATCACAATTTCTGGTACAGAAGAGCCCTTTGATCCAATAATCATCTCAAGTCTTACCAAAGGTGGACTCGCTGAAAGGTAAATATGAAACAGTTATTCGTATCACTTCTGCTTATGAAGTTCATTTCTTCCTTCATTCACATGGACATACTAGATTTTTCTTGCTTAAGAATGTGTTGATTTTCCCAACATCTTTGAAAAAAGATAAACTATCAGTAACCACTCTTTGTCATTGTTTTATGTCTCCTGTAATTTTGCCAAACTCTGCAGTATCATGGATATTGTATCAGGATGTTATTGAACCTACAGCAGGATTTTCTTAGAGTGATAAGGACTGCTGACCTTGTTGTAAATCACCTAAGAAAGCTCTGCCAACCAGATTCCTCCGTCACATGAAGGTTTTATGAACTTCTTTTGAAAAGTGGAATAATTAAAAAACGAGTGTGTGTGTGTGTGTGTGTGTGTGTGTGTGTGTGTGTGTAAAAATATAAAATACACACATATTGTATATTGTACATACATATACACACAGTCTGCATTTGTTTATGGGTTATGCATGTGTGTAGTGACACCATTAAAAGATTGGAAATTAGTTCACATTAATTAAGGATGTTAAACATTCCCTACAGTAAGTGCTGTACAGGGAATAATGCAAACATTGAAGTTACCTTATCTATTTCTAGAATTGGCATGTTTTAAGGGTAGTTACTATGTATCTGCATATTATATCCAGAGCGAATAGATATTTGAGCAATGCATCTTATTGAAACATTCCAAAATCTAGTGAACAAGCCAGTTTCCAGTAATACTTAGTTTTAATGCAAGTTATACATTTACTATTTTGTAAGAACAGTATTAAATGTAATAGCTTTATGGAAATATTATTTATTTAATGGTGTTCAAACCCATAACCATCTCATAGATGTTCAGAATCTGTGTGAAATGACAGGGTGATTTTAGGTCAAGATTTTTAAAAGGAAATTTCAGGTGCCTAACTTGAGATGTCTGAACAGAGCCTGATTTTTAGGCATATCTGAGCACCCACCCTCTGACCGTCAGGCCCCTTTAAGGTGTCCCAAGTTGGGGACACAAAATCACTGGTCATTTTTCAAAACCTTGGCCTTATGTCCTGATGGGAAGGTGGTCCAGTACAATATAGTCATTGTAACCAAAACCTTTGACAGAAGGGTCAAGAAATGAATGAAACATAGAAGCAAATATATACATGGGGAATGAACCATGTGCAACCTTGGTGGCAAATGTACTGATAAAAAGTAGTTCCAATAATAATACCTCACATGTGAAATTAAAAGAAACAATTGAAAATAACTTGCGTATCTCAAGATATATGCTAAGAAATTGGCTTTGCTTGGGGTTTTTTCTGTTGATCTTTTCAGTGTTTTATTTCTAATGCTTTAGGACAGGTGCAATTCACATAGGAGACCGCATCCTAGCAATAAATAGCAGCAGTCTGAAAGGAAAACCTTTGAGTGAAGCCATACATTTGTTACAGATGGCAGGAGAGACTGTCACCTTGAAAATCAAGAAGCAGACAGATGGTGAGTATGGCTAGAATTACATTTATGCTCTTGAAGCAATGTATTGCTACATCTTAAAGAACATTTGAACATGTATGTACCCTGGGAAGTTTCTTGTCCAAAGGGAAAGGAAGGTCAAGTACCTTTTTAGTTTGCAATGAGGCTATAATCATTTTGTTTTTAAACCCTATTTAGCTGCAAGCCCCAAGAAATTTTCCGTATCTGGTCACTTAAGTGAACTGAGTGATGCTGAAGATGAAAGCTCTTCTACACAGAAACCAGGCAAACTTTCAGACATTTATTCTACTACCGTTCCAAGTGTGGACAGCGCAGTAGAATCCTGGGATGGATCTGGTATTGATACCAACTTTGGAAACCAAGGTACAAGAAACAGTTTCAACCACCACCTAACAGGGAAGTGATTAGATGTATGAATCACCTTTCCCCACATTAGAGAAAATGTTACCCATCAACTTTCAACTTTGTACTTCACAGTGTGCATGTCTCATTTCAACCACAAACCTTGATAGCTGGTGTTATTTCTTATACTCATGCGGCCTTGAATTCAATCTTTCATGGCATTATGATGGGTTGTGAGGCATTTATCAATATATTAACAAGCTTACGTTAGCTTTACAAATGTCTGAATGGCCCAATCCATAGTTTGTCCACAGCTAAATGAGTTTACCCTTCAAGATTAGATTAATACAGGGCACAAAACACACTGAAGATGCTCATTAATTTGAGCATCTGAGGCCCATTCTCATTTGTTTTAAGATTACTATAATGAAGATGTATTGTAAATTGCTAAAGGAGAACACAAGAGATTATTCAGTGATTTGTTACTCTTTTGTTTCTTCCATCATTCCCATGACATTAGAGTCAGACTTTCAGCCCTCAAAGTAATCACTGTATTTAAAGAGATTATTTAATTAAAGAAATAACTGGCTTTGTATTACCCTCTAACTTCTATAGCTATATTTGCCTGTTTACTTAATATAAGTATATAGGTTTTGGGGTTATAGAAAATGTAAGAAGTTCTTTAATACTCTGGTTTACAAAAGAAGAAAGAGGCTTTCAAACATCTTTATAAGTTTTCTTTGACTGTATTATAAATGACTATTTCTGTACTATCACTGGTGTGCACTGGTACATCTTTTCACAGACAGATCCCCTAGCCCAAAGAGAATTTTCTTCCTCCCCTGTGGTTTCATAAAATTGTTCAGTTGCGTCTTCATCTTTACATTTCTATCAAGGGTTTCTGGGGCATGGGCAGTCAGATCAGTTGGTCTGCTGTGTTTTGCCCAGTAGAGAGAATTGGGACAGGACGTTGCCTTTGATAGACTGAAATTTTTGCTGATTACGTTAGCTGTGTATGTTTAATTAATCTATGTTTGGCTTAATGAAGCACTTGTCATTTTCTCTCTAACAATTTTCGTTGACGCCTGTCTAATAGTATTAGAGCAAGAAGTAGCTGATGTAACTATTGATTGCTGGTTTTTCTTGTACTTAATTTTTATATATTTATGCTCTTATTGTGCATAACCTAGCCGTAATTCTCTGTTGTACAAAAGGGTCTCTTGCCATTAGCTCATAACCCCTCTTTTCTGTATTTTGTGGTTAATTTATTACAGGTTAGACCTCCCTCGTCTGGCACCCTCGGGACTTGACCGGTTCTGATTGAGTGGATTTGCCAGACCAGCGGAGGTCCTTCCCAACATGGCCAATGCTGAATTCCTGCCCCATGCTAGGGATCCAGCCTGGCACCACTGCCAGTTCTCTAGCTACTGCTGCCTGACCCTGAGTTCTACCGCTGGGGCCAGAGATCTGCAGCCACTGCCCGACCCCAAGGACCACAGCTGGGGCTGGAGCTCTGCAGCCACTGCTGGACCTGAGCTCCGCGACTGGGGCTGGAGCTCCCTGGCTGCAGCTGGGGCCGGGGCGCC